ATATATATATATATAGTTATATTGCTGATGTTATTCGATGCAAATATATATACATACATATATATATATATAATAATATATATGCGATCCACTTCACATTAGTTTACAAAATTGTAGAATTTATTTGACATTTTATTTATCCTTATGTTCAGATCCTTAGTAGTTACACCACATTCTGTGTTATTTTGTGTGACCCGATGATTTGAGTCTTACTGTATAAACAGACTCCTGTAAATCCTGTAAAATAGTGTAAATACAGCATATGTGTATATGAGAGCAACTGTATATGTACAAAGTCTCGTCAAATCGTTTTGCTAGAGCCTGAATAAATGTTTGAATTGCACAAACGTGTGGAACAGAGTTTATTGTGTGTGAATGGACTTGTATGTTATGTCATTAATTTGTAATCTGCTTGACTTTGCTTTTAACTTCACTGAAGTGAATATAGGGAGATTTATTTGAATGTTTTTGGATTTCTTATTTTTTTTTAAACTGAGAATATTTGGTCAAAAATACAGAAAACAACTATTATTATAATTTAATGCAATTTTCTGTGTGAATATATTGTAAAATGTCAGGTATTCCTGTAATGCAAAGCTGTATCAGCATCATTAACTGTATTTTTTATTAATTTTTTTCATTGTATCATTATTACACATATTTGATGCTCAAGAAAAACATTATTAATGTTGAATAAAAATGACTATGTTATACAATTATTATTGTTATTATTATACAGAAGTGTAATCTATCAGCCTGTAGAGTTTTTTTTTTATCATGGATGAAGTGTATTATGATCTCTTGTGTTGAACTTCTGAATAGTTTCAAATGTAGATTATTTTAATTTAATTGTTATAATTGCATTGATGCAGAAAAGTGTTTGATTGTCAGCATGTTTAGATTTTGTAGGCCGAATATTTTCAAATGTAGATTATTAATGGTTTATGATCTGTTTTTTGATATGCATGTAGTTTTAAAAGTGTGTAATAACTCAAACAAACAGCATGATTGTGATGTGTTTTCAGTGTGTGTGTGTGTTTGTGTGTATTATTCGAGGTCTGTGTGTTCTGTAGGCTCCACCTGTTTCAGTGCGGTTCTCCTTCAGGTCCTGGAGATGTGAGTTTTGAGTGGCGTGTGAACGGCCGGAGACTTGAGTCTGGCATCACCGAACATAGACGTGTGTTTTCCCATGATGCCGTTGTGCTGAGCAGCTGGATGAAGGCCGAGGCTCTGAATGAAGATGTCCAGTATGAATGTAAAGCTCTGTCCAGAACCGGGAACAACACTTCCAGAGTCACACTACGATCGTCCAGCAGAGGTACAAGTTTTTTGTCTAAAAACAGGTGATGGATTTTTTTTTAAATAACAGAGTTTTAAAAAGAGTTAACAGAGTTAATGAGTTGATGATAAAAGAGTTGACTGTAACAGAGCTAACAATAAACGAGTTGACTGTAAGAGTTGATGATAAAGAAGTTGACGGTAACGGAGTTGACTGTAACGGAGTTAACGATAAAGGAGTTGACAATAAAGCAGTTAAGGATAAAAGAGTTGACAGTAATGAAGTTGATGGTAAGGGAGTTGACAATAAAAGAGTTGACGGTAAAGGAGTTGACAATAACAAAATTTACGATAACAAAGTTGACAATGACGAAGTTGACGATAACAGAGTTCACAGTAAAAGAGTTTAGGGTAAAGGAGCTGATGGTAAAGGAGTTGATGTAACAGAGTCGACGGTAAATGAGTTGACAGTAAAGGGGTTGACGATAAAAGAGTTGACGATAACAAAGTTGACAATAACAAAGTTGACAATAACGAAGTTGACGATAACAGAGTTGACGGTAGCAAAGTTGACAAAGACAGTAGACAATAACAAAGTTGACAATAATGAAGTTGACGATATAAGAGTTGACAGTAAAAAAAGTTGAGGTTAGAAGAGTTGACTGTAACGGAGTTGACAATAAAAGAGTTGACGTAACGGAGTTGACAATAAAAGAGTTGACGTAACGGAGTTGACAATAAAAGAGTTGACTGTAACGGAGTTGACGTTATAAGAGCTGACGGTAACAGAGTTGACAATAAAAGAGTTGACTGTAACGGAGTTGACGTTATAAGAGTTGACTAACGGAGTTGACGTTATAAGAGTTGACTAACGGAGTTGACAATAAAAGAGTTGATGATAAAAGAGTTGACGATAACGGAGTTGACGTTATAAGAGTTGACTGTAACGAGTTAATGTTATAATAGTTGACTGTAACGGAGTTGACGTTATAAGAGTTGACTGTAACGAGTTAATGTTATAATAGTTGACTGTAACGGAGTTGACGTTATAAGAGTTGACGGTAACGGAGTTGACAATAAAAGAGTTGACTAACGGAGTTGACGTTATAAGAGTTGACTAACGGAGTTGACGTTATAAGAGTTGACTAACGGAGTCGACAGTAAATGAGTTGACAGTAAACGGGTTGACGATAAAAGAGTTGACGATAACAAAGTTGACAATAACAAAGTTGACAATAACGAAGTTGACGATAACAGAGTTGATGGTAGCAAAGTTGACAAAGACAGTAGACAATAACAAAGTTGACAATAATGAAGTTGACGATATAAGAGTTGACAGTAAAAAAAGTTGAGGTTAGAAGAGTTGACTGTAACGGAGTTGACAATAAAAGAGTTGACTGTAACGGAGTTGGCGGTAGCAGAGTTGACTATAACAGAGTTGACCGTAAAAGAGTAGAGGGTAGCAGAGTTGACGATAACAGAGTTGACAGTAAAAAAAAAGTTGTCGGTAATGGTAACGGAGTTGACAATAAAAGAGTTGACTGTAACGGAGTTGGCGGTAGCAGAGTTGACTATAACAGAGTTGACAATAAAAGAGTTGACTGTAGCGGAGTTGACGTTATAAGAGTTGACTGTAACGAAGTTGACATTATAAGAGTTGACTGTAACGGAGTTGACAATAACGAAGTTGACGTTAAAGGAGTTGGCGGTAGCAGAGTTGACGATAACAGAAATGACAGTAAAAAAGTTGAGGTTAGCAGAGTTAACGGTAACAGAGTTGACAATAAAAGAGTTGACGTAACGGAGTTGACAATAAAAGAGTTGACGTAACGGAGTTGACAATAAAAGAGTTGACTGTAACGGAGTTGACGTTATAAGAGTTGACGGTAACAGAGTTGACAATAAAAGAGTTGACTGTAACGGAGTTGACGTTATAAGAGTTGACTAACGGAGTTGACGTTATAAGAGTTGACTAACGGAGTTGACGTTATAAGAGTTGACTAACGGAGTTGACAATAAAAGAGTTGATGATAAAAGAGTTGATGATAAAAGAGTTGACGATAAAAAAGTTGACGATAACGGAGTTGATAATAACGAAGTTGACGTTAAAGGAGTTGACGGTAGCAGAGTTGACGATAAAAGAGTTGACCGTAAAAGAGTTGAGGGTGGCAGAGTTAACGGTAACAAAGGTTACGATAACGGAGTTGACGTTATAAGAGTTGACTGTAACGAGTTAATGTTATAATAGTTGACTGTAACGGAGTTGACGTTATAAGAGTTGACGGTAACGGAGTTGACAATAAAAGAGTTGACTAACGGAGTTGACGTTATAAGAGTTGACTAACGGAGTTGACGTTATAAGAGTTGACTAACGGAGTTGACGATAAAAGAGTTGACGATAAAAGAGTTGATGATAAAAGAGTTGACGATAAAAAAGTTGACGATAACGGAGTTGATAATAACGAAGTTGACGTTAAAGGAGTTGACGGTAGCAGAGTTGACGATAAAAGAGTTGACCGTAAAAGAGTTGAGGGTGGCAGAGTTAACGGTAACAAAGGTTACGATAACGGAGTTGACGGTTACAGAGTTGATAGTAAAAGAGTTGACGGTAACGGAGTTGACAATAAAAGAGTTGACTGTATCGGAGTTGACTTTATAAGAGTTGACTGTAATGAGTTGACGTTATAATAGTTGACTGTAACGGAGTTGACGTTATAAGAGTTGACGGTAACGGAGTTGACAATAAAAGAGTTGACTGTAACGGAGTTGACGTTATAAGAGTTGACTAACGGAGTTGATGTTATAAGAGTTGACTGTAACGGAGTTGATGATAAAAGAGTTGACAATAACGGAGTTGATAATAACAAAGTTGACGTTAAAGGAGATGACTGTAACGGAGTTGAGGTTATAAGAGTTGACTGTAACGGAGTTGACGATAAAAGAGTTGATGATAAAAGAATTGACAGTAACGGAGTTGACGTTAAAGGAGTTGACGGTAGCAGAGTTGACGATAACAGAGTTGACCGTAAAAGAGTTGAGGGTAGCAGAGTTAACGGTAACAAAGGTTACGATAACGGAGTTGACGGTTACAGAGTTGACAGTAAAAGTAAAATATAGGCTGAGCAGATTCTTTATTAACAATATATTTATTTTATACAAGCGTTAATGTTGACAATCTCTCTCACACACACACACACACACACACAGAGAGAGAGAGAGAGAGATTGTTTAGTAAATACAGACAAAACAAATTCCGATATCCACAGAGCTGCATAATTAGAGTATTGCAAAGTAATAATTAGTTTGGCCTGCAGCGCTCAAAAACAGACCAGACCTGACGCGTTGATCATCGACTATAAAAAACGCTTGAAAAGTTGATTCCAAATATATATAAATAAATATAAATATTGTGTGTGTGTGTGTGTGTGTGTGTGTGTGTGTGTGTGTGTGTGTGTGTGTGTGTGTGTGTGTGTGTGTGTGTGTGTGTGTCAGATGAGGCTGATGTTTGTCACACAGATGTGGAAGACTGGAAAACTGCAATGTCTGAACACAACACACTTCTGCAGCAGTGGAGGAAAGCCTGGGTGAGACACACACACACAATAAAGAAGGATTTTTTTTCCTTTAAGTTACTTGTAAGTAAATGTTTCTTTTAAAAACAGTTTTTATTTTAATAATCCAAAGAATCTTTTTCCACTTAATGAATCTCCATGTGTTAAAGATCTTCACAGAACCATTAATGCCGATAAAAAAAGAAAATGAAGGCTTTCAAATTAAAACACTTTCTTAAAGTACATTTTGGTTAATATCCTGTGAGAAAATGGCTGTTAATTACCCTGTTTATTATGCAGTATGACATTTGAGCTTCATATAAGCACACTTGAAGTGTATTATCTACATTAAGCACAGTTGAATTAAAGGTGCAGTATGTAAGTTTGACACCTGGTGGCGAAACTAGGTATTGCACCCCTGGTTCAAAATTGCTTATTACTAGGCCCACATGAAATCTGCACGCACAGAATTCCACAGATTTTTAGCCGACTATTGATTCTGTTCATTTACTTGTGTAAATATGTGTAAATTCATATTCATTCAGTTTAAAATAAAAATTAATTTCAGGAGTATTACCGATTAATATGAAAATATTCATACGATTTATTTACAGTACAATTTGTAATGTAATATTTTCTGTCTTTTAGTAGATTGATAATTTGAGAGACTTGCTTTGTTAACTAAATAAGTGAATCTGATTGGATTTGCATTGTAAACATTAAATACAAGTTAAAAAGGTATCACTTTTTAGTTTAGTTATATTAAGGTTTAAGTTATGATATTCCCAAAATCATTCCGCATAAACCCGCAGATTTTTACCAAAATTCTGCGCAGAAATAGCAAAAAATGTCCGCAGATTCCGTCTGGCCCTAGTTATCACTGCAAATCTTGTTGGGACACGGGGTTACAATGTAACCTGCTCACCTATTGTTTACGTTCTTAATATTTATATTATTTGCTTATTAATAATCTCATGTGGAACTCCAAATCTGCGTCTCATTTCGGAGTCTGCTACTGTCTACCAGAGGTCACATTTCAGTCACGGACACATGCTTTGAGAACATTTCAGACTGACTGAATGAAATAGTCTGTTTTCCACCAAGGCAACCCGGGGTGCTGAAATATAATTGGCTAAGCTGGCTGTGGGAGGGTTAAAGGATCAAAACAAAGACAGACATTCCAGCACGTAATGCACATTTTCAAAGCAGAATATCTGACCTCAGAAATTTTTTATTTGATGTTTGACGTAATCTCAATGAAACATGAGAGGGTGGATATATATAATAGCCCCTCCCCTTTTTAAAAAACAGCCAATAACATTTTGTTTTCTCACAGCTCTACAGGTGGAAGTGGTTGAGCTTAAGCGTATCAAATGAAAAGCAAATGAGAATAAGGGGCAGAGCATGTCAGATACTAGAGCATTTGATTGGTTAACATTTGATGACAAACTGAGGTGACGTGAATAAAACCGTTGATCCATTTAGGCAGGAGTGACAAACTACAAGCTGTACATTATTTTAAAGCTTCTAATCACACTAGCTTATAGATGTCCTGAAAACTAATAATACTGATACTAATACTTTTACTGGCAGCTAGCTCTCTGCAACTCTCACATGGTCACTCACTGAAAGCTAGGTTGCTGCCAGAAGTGGTGTTAGTAAGGCCAGCAGGGGGCGCTCAAACTGCTGTCTGTGGGTCTTAATGCCCCAGTATAGTCTTTCGGATGAGATGTTAAACCAAGGTCCTGACTCTCTGTGGTCGTTAAAAATCTCTGGATAGCATCCTGGCTAAATTTGCCCACTGGCCTCTGTCAAGAAGGGTCTGGCTGCAGAGTTGAACTTGCTTCTTCGGGCTTGCACTTTCGGGCTTAAGGCTGATTTATACTTCTGCGTCAAACGCCGGCGTATGCTACGGCGCTGACGCATAGCCCTTCGGCGTGGCTGTCGGCGTCGCTGACGTGCACCTCTCAAAAAATGTAACTACACGTCGCGACGCGTAGCGCAAGCTCTGTGATTGGTCGGCTTGGTAGCGCTGACGAGTCTGGGTGGGGCCGAGAGCCGCGTGAATGGTGCGAGCCCAATGGAGCGATTGTTTACAAGTGTGGAGTGCTGTGAAGGAGCTCCGGATGCAAAGTTTTGTTTTGTGTTTATCTCATAGTTAAAGTTGTTGCACGTCCGCCGGTTCCTGCCTCAAAATGAGCGAGTTTGAGCCACTTGTACATCCCGGAAGAGTTCAGTAAAAGCAAAACAGCAGCAAAGAAACTCGACACAGAGGAACATTTACACCTCACTGCCCACTAGCGTTTCGGAAGTGTTAATGCAGACCAACAGAGACATAACGCAGAAGTATAAATGCACAGCTGCGCGCGTTGCATGCGCCGTGGGTTACGCCGGTCACTTGACGCAGAAGTATAAACCAGGCTTTACCCACTCAGGCACCCACGCTTCTTATGCAAGTGACGTCATTTACAATCGACACCTGCACATGTCACGTCACTTGAAATCAACACAAATAAACCAAAAGTTTCCAGTTTGCTTGCGTTGACAGTGACGACTTTGTCAAATAATTCTAAGTAGCCTTTATACGTTGTATACCCCCCCTCCGAAAAGCAGTTAGTATATTCATCATATGATTATATGCTTTGAGGTGAATTTACCAAAGCAGGCTACTATTAACATTCATACCAGCAAAGCGTATTATTTATATCAAGTAAATATCAGTCTAAATATACACACAAGGTATTCTTCCACACTTATGAATAAAAAAAAAACTTGATTGAAAGTTTGAATTTTAGATTTTATTTTAAACATTTCAAGGACTAACAGATACTCATTATTGACTTACAGCAATGATTCTTGAACGTCCTGGGAAACTATTCTTTATAACTATTCTAATGAGTTAGCATGTCTGCGCAGGAGTGCATCTATATGAAATCACAGCTGCAGCGCAGCTTCAACAGACTCTACATGATCCCAGCCCAGTTTTATCAGTCCACCACACATAATGTCGAGATCGACTCAATAAGGGAACGTCTCGACTCGCTTAACGGAAAGCGACACAGATGATGTGTAGCCTTACTGCAAAGCTGTTGTAAGGCAAGCATTCGTGGTTCGTTACGATCTGTTTACATAACTATAGCAACTGTGACGCCCGTCGCCAGAAACTACAGTGAAATCAAAGAGCTTAGAATGACCAAGAGGCGACACTCAATAGAACGTTCCATTGCAACAGCAGCGCCCAGCAACAGCCACGGATTCCGCCATTTTGGAGTGAAAGCGGTCGGCTGTCCATTGGATCTTATTGCTGTCGCAATGGCAAGCAGCTGCTTTGTTTTTAATTTATTTATTTAAAAAGTGCATTAAAGCTGAGATACAACCTGAAAGACGACAATACAGCACTTACTATCACAATCATCAGCACTTTTAATAGTTTATTTTACAGACTTTTAATATGTTGTTCTATTGGAGTCTTCATTCCAAAATGGCCGCCACGCCATTTAGTGGCTGTTTCGCAAATTACACTAGAGTGCCGCCTCTTGGTCATTCTAAGCTCTTTGGTGAAATGCTTAGAAAAAAGGCACTTGCGTAAGGGTGACAGATAAGAAGTTTGTTGCAATGATCTTAATGAAATCTGTTACCTCAGAGATTTTTCCGCCTCTAGGACACCCTTAAAGGTGCAGTAGGTGATCTGCCAAAATGCTAACCGCTCAGCATATTATCTTTGGACGGCGGGGAGGGACAGTGATTCAAAGCCACGCCCCCTGATATCGCGAGCGCGCGGACCACGTCACAACAGCAGACAGACAACCCACTAGTTCATGTCATTCGCCAGTTAGTTAGTGCCAGCGCCATGCAGGAATTACATGTATTACTTTGCCACACGTGCATGCTATTTCAGAGCGAATATTCAGAGTAACGTTAGCGGTAAACAGTATAGGAAGGCTGCCATTGTTCAAAAATGACCCAATGTGAATATAAAAGCAACTTCAGCTCAATAGAGCAGGTTAGGCAGAATAGCGCTATTTACTGGTGTTTTGTTGTTAAACTAAATATAAATCTACATTATAGATGCTGTCAAAGAACCTTGTGAAACTGAAAATAATCACATCAATCTTTCACCGGGAGATTTCAGTGGCTGAAACAACACGTCTGTGCATAGAAGTCATTCATAACAGAACACATTGACAACATAAGCTTAGCCTGACTAAAATAGTTTCAAAACAGAACATTTCCTGTCTAACAGTAATAGTTACTTCAGCCATGGTCTCCAATACTGATTCAGGGTTTTCAAAAGTTTCAGTGCAGCATTTGATTTCTCCCGCTCCGTCTCGTGACCGCGCGGCCGCTTTAAGGGCGAATTATACCCGCGCCTGGCTTTACAGTAATCGGCCCGAGCTCGGCTGTCCTCCGGCGCCTCCGGCTCCGACTCGGCATCGCACGCATGCGTTTGTGATGCAGACGGGCACGCGCTAATGGCGGATCTGCGTAAACAGATGCGCAGAAGTCGGAATCTACATTTGCTGACAGACAGTCTGACCTGACCTGCCATCGGAATTAAGGGCGATGACGGTCCGACTCTATTTAATTGGATAAACATTTTTTAGTTTTATGCTTTACCCTGAATATAAAAATACATATAAACACATTTAGATCAATTACTGTAATACTATTGGACTGTGAAGAGACTTTCAACCAGCACAACAAAAAATGTTTCTGAAGACAATCACCTACTGCACCTTTAAGTTAAATTACCGAAGGTCTTTCATGCAAGCTTTTTTTTTTAATAAACTTTTATTTAGAAAAGAAGAAATGTATAATATAAATTAGGAAGTAATCTGTTGGAGACTGGACCACAAGTACATACAATTACAAAGTGATAAGAACAATGAGTAACAATATGTATTAAGAGACTTTCATGCAAGCGGACACAGGTGGCGATTGTAAATGACGTCACTTGCAGTGGAAGCGCGGTTGCCTGGACGTGCAAGCCTGGAGGTGCAAGTGCCAACCTGCAGCAAGACTCTATTGCCTCTGTCCATCATGATCTCCTAACCATCCCTATATCATAATTGTGTTCATCACTCTGTCTCCTCTTCATCAATCAGCTGGTGTGTGGTGTGGCACAATATGGCTGCCGTCGCTTCATCCAGGTGGGGATTCCCCCAAATGTG